ACCACCAAGAGGCATGAGAGCCATTATTCGGTGGAACAATGATGTGTTGCATGTTGCTGCTTGGTCGTCAAGATTCAATAATTAAATCGGGGTTCTCGTACGTAGAGCAAACATCATCATTCCTTATTTTAATTTTTGACAACTACCATGGACCATGTACTAGCAGATATGGAATGAGCTTATGGTAACTTTATATTACTTTTGCTATTCATTTATTATTGATTAATAATAGACATTAATTTATTCTAATTAAATATATATGCAAATTTATAGGAAAGCTTTTCCTTGAGGACTTTGACGGGGCTTGGTACTATATTTTTAATGTCAAGGTTAAAGTCGTCCTCAAACAATGGAGGCATCAGATTAAACAAAAAACCTATGATAGGCATTCAGAGGAATGACAGAGGTTTTTGAACCTTGATGATAGGGTTGACAAGCTTCATTTCATAGCTCTCCTCATGTATTAGGACACCGTTGCCGCACATGTTAGTTTTATGAAAACTACACTATTTACATGATATATTAATTCATTGCATCTTTACTAAAATAATTTTTAGAGAATAAATCAACGAAGGGATCAATAAATATAAGGAAAAAGATGCATGACTACCACTTAAGCTCACACTCTTATGCTAAACTGGAGGATGATTGTTGTCGAGATACAGTATCGAGATACAATATATATTATATAAAGCTTTAAATGATCTTAATGCTTAGTATGACTACGAAGTCTCATAAATTAACAAATTGATAGGGAAAACCAATAACGCCGGTAAACTTGAAGGCTAAGTTGGCATATAGTACCTTCCGTGATCGTTATAGGAATGACGAGAAGAATCAGGATAAGATTAAGGTAAACCTCGAGTTGGTGGTGAGACTTAATTATAACTTATTTAGAAATATTACTTGTATTTTTACTTAAATTTATTTAAATTTTCTTAGATCTATTTCCAATGATGTAATCTTTGTAAGCTTATATATATGCTTTAGGAGGGTTTTGAAGCTACAACCAAGGAGGCATCAACACTGCATATATCTCAGGAGGAAGTACAAGGCGAGCCGGATCCTCACATGCTATCTCTAGAGGATAACATCAGCCTCACTCAGAATGTATTAGGATATAATAGGTAGGGGTGTGTAGGCATTGAAAATTGCCTATAGGTCTCCACGAACGGTTCAGTGTTAAAGAGCGATGATGAACGTTACTATCCGAGCCACAGGAGTCCAATTGACGTCGACAAACGACTGAAGTGAATCCGAGCCACAGGATTTCGGAACAACCAAGACCCGGACCAATCGGGAACCCGACGCTGTTCACAAAAAGGACAACGCCCAGGTCTCCACGAACGGTTCAGTGTTAAAGAGCGACGATGAACGTCACTATCCGAGCCATAGGAGTCCAATTGACATCAACAAACGACTGAAGTGAATCGACGAGCTACGTGAGCTTATAGGATTTCGGAACAACCAAGACCCGGACCAATCGGGAACCCGACGCTGTTCACAAAAAGGACAACGCCCTTCGGGCCTCGACCACTCTACAGATAATCCAACCATCAGAGCAGATCGAACTCTTCGTCAAGCATCCAACGCACCCGGAATCACTCAAATCCGAGCTCGGACGAAGAATCTACGGGGAAAACAGTCAAATACACCTCAACGGAGTCTCAGAAGTTCCAAAACACCCCAAGGGGTGTCTCAGAAATTCCGAGACACCCCAGGGGTGTCTCGGAAATTCCGAGACACCCAAGGGTGTCTCGGAAAATCTGAGACACCCCTAGGGGTGTCTCGGATTTCTGGAGACACCCCAGGGGTGTCTAGGCACCCTAGGTACTCCCTATGGCTATAAATAGCCACCCCTTACCTCATTTTTCAAGATCTGGATTTTTGGAGAGCCTTGGCGAAGCCATGCTGCAGCAAAGAGTGGTCGAGCACTTCAACCAAGGAGGAGAGGTCTACATCAGTCTTCATCACCCATTCCCCGTCAGATCCTTAGTATTAGCCCTTGGCGTTAATACTAAGAAGAGCTTATATCTCGCTTTAGCCGAGATAGACGTTTATAGCTTCTAGATCTCACACGGATCGACGAAGCTCTGTCCGATTTTTCTGGATCAGAAGTTTCTAGATCTCACGCGGATCGACGAAACTCTGTCCGATTTATCCGGACCAAATCTGATTGCTCCGGTGGTCCACGGATATCAACATCCCCGTCACAGGCCAAAGACCCACGCAAGCGAGACCGCACCAAAACGGGATCTCGTGTTTGTTTGAAGAAAGTTGTAACCTTTTTGTTTTCGTTGTGTAAGAGCCTTATAAAAAGACGATTTCTTTTTGTTTCATTGTAACGATCTAAGTTGTAATGAATAAAGCAATGAATACAACAGCTTTCTCCGCAAACAGGGTGGTACACAGTCGAATCAAATCGAATACTACATTCCTATTTATATTTATTTAAAATTATTAAATTTGAATATGAACTCTAATATTCATTTCTACTCTAATATTAGGAGAGGAGGATATCCATTGCATGGTGTTGGAGCTTCACTAGGCATAAGCATAAGATCATTCACAGCATCATCCACATTATCAATAGCAACAACAGCAGCATCAGTCAATTTGCAGGCTATGCCACTTGTTTTACGTGTCTCCACGTATTTGCGTGGAAAGATTAACTCAGAACTACACGTTTAGGTGACTAATGAGATGAGTAGTGTTGTGTTGAGGGCCCGCACGATGGACGAGGTCATTTCCTACATTATAAGTTTTTTAGGCCGGTGTGATTCCTGATATCTGTTTGGTGATGTTATACCACTTATAAACTCTGGCGCTGGTAACACCGGCTTTGTGCAGAGCAGCGCACATGTATCTTATTTTCCTTCACATACTATGTTATTATGTTTTCATTAAATCTTCTGTAATTACATATTACTCCCATAGATGCAGAAAATTACATGAAAAATTATATATTATTCTCATAATATTCAATAGTTGCATATTATTTTCATTAAAGTGAAATACTAAGGAACTAATGCTATTGCTTATCAGTCCCCCAAAAAATTAATTGTTGCATTATTTCCATAAAAGGGAAAATCCTAAAAAAACTAATGCTAAATTGAATATTTAAGGGACTAGTATATTAAAAAAACCATTTATGTTTGATATATTATCAAACTTCACATGATTCTAAAATATAATCAATTTGACCTTAAGGCTGGAGACATTAGAGGGAGTAGTAGTGGTTTTCGTACGAGGGACAGAGCCGTTGCCGATGATGACGAGATATGAGGTTGTTTTATTTTTTATGCACTAAACAGTTGTTTATCTGTAATAGTACTCTATTTTATTCATCTGGTGTTATGGACTTGGTATTGCTATTGTATCTGTTGTAAATATTCAGATAAGATAAGTTTTTACTGAAATTGATGTTGGTTCGGATTGTTGGGATGTGTATATTGGACTGGATTGTTGGATGTTTATATTGGATTGGATTGTTGGATGTGTGTATCGGATATGAATATTGATTATATTTGATTGGATGTGTTTATAAAATATATAGGAATTATGTATTGATGTGTATATCAGGTGAATGTAATAAAAAATGTACATCGAATAAACTTTCTGGAATTTTTTTTTGTAAAAAGTAATAACCTAGACGGAAAGTCCATCTGGGTTTCCTCAACCTAGACAGAACTGCTGTCTAGGTTGCTTCCTAGATGAAAAATCTATCTAGGAACCAACCTAGACAGAATTATTAATTTCGTCTAGGTTGCTTTCCGTCTAGTTAGATCAATCAAGACGGGATTCCGTCTAGGTTGACTCAAACTAGACATAATTTTTCTAGACGGACTTTTCTAGACGGATTTTCGCCTAGGTTTCTTTGCCTAGACGGATTTTTGTGCAACCTATACGTTTTTTTCGTCTAGTTTGCTTGTTTTTCTACTAGTAATAACATGCTTTTGTCACATCCTATTTAGTCTTTCTAGTTCAAATAATATCTTTTTCAATCAAACATTTTGTATTGCTTTCACTCTTGTTAAAAAAATGACTTTCCAGACCCACTATAAATATGCCTAACACCCCTCAAGATAATTTAATTATGGAAATTAAATGTTAACTGGCAACTTTTTATCCGAAGTTAGTGTAGCAGAACAAATTATATCATCCCAATTGGTGGACATTTCTAATTATAATAATTCGGGAACCTAAACTTGGGTGTTTTTGACAGTAAATGGGCGGCCTCTACATGATTGAGGTGGACGTGTAAAGAAATATGAAGACTCCTGTGAAGAAATCTGTAACTCTTTTATGCGTACAGAGAGAGAAAGGTTACATATATAGAGAAATTTTCAATATGTTTGATGCGAAAGCAAGAAAATAAGTATCAGATCTACTCCAAGGAAGGGAATTAATCAACGCCAACATGCAAAATCACATTTTGAAGAGAAATGCAAGCACAAGCATAATCTTAATGACGAACCTAGTAGATAATAAACTCATCACATTCACAAAGACAATAATATATATAGTGTGTTGGGCGCAGAGTCACGCCCGCCGCCGCGGAAGCGATATCACCTGAGAGAAAGCACTGGCTTTTGTTTTTTTTTTTTTTTTTCAAGCCGCTTTTTCCCGCTCTCTGATTTCACCCACAGCAGCCGACTAAGAATTTCCCCCACGAAACCCTAGGTAAACATAGGTATAAACATAGGTATTTATAGGATGCTTAGTGGGCCGGTGAAGAAAACCGCAGCTTGGAGTTGGAGTTGTTTCATGCGTCCACGCACGTGGGTGGACCCCACCGAGTTGCTGCTCCCAAGTATCTTCGCGTGGACCCGTTCGTTCACATAGTGCGGTTCAACACTTTTGCCTACGTCCACAGAGCAAGGCCAGCTCACAGAATGACTGATACAAATTAATTTGTCCTGGAATATGACTTCATTCTATTCATGGAATAGTTATAATTACCCCTACGTAAAATCACTATCACGCAAGCACCGTAGTCATCACTCCTGTGAATATGAGCAAGGCGTCGCAAGGAGACGGAGATTAACTCGCTTCCTAACTGTAAATCCCGGAGCCTCCCCCATATCCATATCTTCCCTCCTCATTCCATCAGGAAGTTCCCAATCAAAGCGATACACAAGATTCGCCAATGCAACTTCGACAATCGATATCGCAAAATGTTTCCCCGTGCAAGCCCTTCGACCCACGCCAAAAGGAATAAAATGGAAATCTCGCCCTTTCATGTCCGTGAGACCGTTCAAGAATCTCTCAGGTCGGAACTCACCGGGGGCTTCCCAGTATCCCGCGTCTCTACTAACATCCCACGCATTTATAATGACTCTTGTTCGCTTGGGAATTTCATAGCCCCGAACGATAGTATTTTGCAGTACTCGGCGTGGACCGAGCAGTGGACCTGGTGTATGCAACCGCAGGGTCTCCTTTATCACTGATTTCAAGTAGCCCATCCCAACTAATTCCTCATTTGTTATTATTGCCTTGGGACCAAGTTTACTTCTTAATTCATTTTGTAATTTCTTCATGGCTTCTGGATTTCTCACGAGCTCCGCCATCGCCCATTCTAGCTAGGACCAACACTGTTGCTATGGTTCCAGCACCAAATGCGTCCTAGAAAATCATATGACAAAAGGAGGTGTGAATCTTAGCATCAGATCAAACAATGAACACAACTTCAAATCATTGATACGTACGTAAGTTACTAATTACCTCAGTAAGAGCTTTGACGCTATCCTTGTCTAAGTAATTTTTACCATCTTTCTCGAGCGAGAGCAAGATATCGACGAAACAATCAAGCTTAGACCCACAACCTATCGGTTGACTATTAGAAATACGTCGATCCTCAATAATACGTTCGATGATTTTATTCACGGTGCTGCATGTCCTCTCCAACCTCGCGTCAAATCCAATTAGTGAACTCAACCATGAAAGCCTGGGGAAGTAGTCCCCGATCTGAAACGATACGAGCAAATCATTGGTATCCTTGAGAAGCACATCAGCCATCTCATTCCATCCCTCCTCGCTTGAGCGTTTGTTGAATACTATCATACTAGCAACCTCCTTGGCAAATACCGTTATTGCACCTGTCAAATCAACCACTAGTCCAAGCGAAGATAGATTCATGATGTTGTCGATCATTGAGGCTACCTCCTGTTCTCTTATGAGGTGATACGATCGGATCCTTGGAGGACTTAGAAGGTGAAAAACAATGAGTTTTCTCACGTTCCTCCAGTGATCTCCGTATGGAGCAAAAGCAACATCTTTGCATCCGTATAAAAGTTTGTTAGGTACAATCAGGGAGGGCCTATCTGAGAAATTGGCGTCTTGAGTCTCAATTATCTCTTGTAATATTTCTGCTGATGATATTACTAGAGTAGGGATTTGGCCGAGTTGGAGGAGCATAAGAGGACCGTGTTTGTTCGAGAGAGCAGCAAGAGAGCGGTGAGGGAAAGGACCCATCAACTGATGGAGGTTTCCGATGACTGGGAGCTTGAATGGGGATGGAGGGAGATTTCTTTTTTTAAGTGAAGATCCATATCGAAATAATACCAAGAGAAATGGAGTTAACAAAAGAAGAGAAAGAAATAATGCACGATGGAGATGAGGTAGAACCATTTTGCTACACTAATTTGTTCATTGGTAGGTTCGTATATATAGAGCACATTATCAACGAGTTACTCTTCTTGCTGCTATTCTTTTACTGCCAGCAAACAGCTCGTCATGGCTCAGTAAACAGATCCATTTAATTTAAACCGTAACTTAGGCCCTGTTTAGCAAAGGGTTAAGGAAGAGGAGAAAAATAGTGTTGTGCGCAGCGGAACTTAAAACACACGAAAGAACACGAACAAGAACGAGATAGATCACAACCAATAAGTAAAACACAATCATCACAGCAAGAGACAAACGAATTTTATGTGGTTCGGCAAGTTGCTTACGTCCACGGGGTAAAGAAGGGAGAGTTTTTACTATTAGAGATAAAGAGAATACAAATAGGATTTACAATCTCATCAAAAACCCTCAAACAAAGCTCTCAAAATCTCTCACAAATTCTCCCTCAAAGAATGCACAAAACTCTCTCAAATACTGCTCAAAATCTTGTCCCAGTTAACCCTAATAATCATGTTTAGGGTTATATATCAACACAAAACAAAACGGGTCAGAAAACAAAGCCCAGGCTCGGACCCGAGTCGCGGTCGACCACACTTGACGCCGCGGTCGACCGGACAGAATGACAAAACCTTCAAAAAAGCAATTACAGGGTCCGCGGTCGACCGCACTTGACGTCACGGTCGACCAGCCAGAGATCCGAAAATACACCCTGTAGTGTACACGTTTTCGGTCAACCGCCACTTGTCTCGCGGTTGACCGAACAACACCTAGACTGTTTTCAGCTTTATTTTTCCTAAACTTTGTCGCCGTTTTTGCCGTTTCTATAATTCCCCACCTCTACGAAGTTTTTCCAAAACTAAACCGATATCAATACCAATCAAACGTCCCACTTGTTACGTCCAGTACGTAGTAGAGTAAATCCACGATAATGGACTCAATTCACAACAAGTCGAGAACCCAAACGAGAGCTCAAACAATCTCCCCCCGTCGATATCAACTACTTCAACAGGCTGCATCAAAAATGACTGCCTACGTATCCTCTTGCCTAAGGAATCAAGCCTCACGTAGTTCACCCAAATAGCCTTCAAAGGCCCTCAATTTCGAAGAATGTTCAATAGCTCCAAACAATGACCAAACGTCACACCCGAGACAACTTTGGTCAACATATCCGCAATGTTGTCCTTAGTGTGGATCTTCTCTAATATGACATCTTCATCATCCAAGACATCTCAAAAAAAAAAAAAATCTGACATCAATGTGCTTCGTGCGTTCATGATAGACCTGGTTCTTTGCCAAATAGATAGCTGACATGCTATCACAATACACCCAAATGGTCTCTTGTGCAATCCCCAAGTCATCCAACAATCCGTACAACCACAAAGCCTCCTTCAGAGTTTTAGTCACAGCCATATACTCTGCCTTCGTAGTAGAGAGAGTCACTGTAGACTGAAGTGTACATCTCCAGCACACCGGTGCTCCTGCCAATGTAAATACATATCCTGAAGTAGATCGACGCTTGTCAAGATCCCCCGCATAATCAGAATCTACATAGCCAATACAATCCTATAAAATCTTCTCATTCTTCTGAATACCAAACCAACATCCACAGTACCTTTGATATGCCATAGAATCCACTTCATGGCCTCCCAATGACCCTTCCCGGGATCGTGCATATACCTAGACACTATGCTCACGGCCTGTGACAAATCTGACCTCGTACACACCATCACATACATCAAGCTACCTACCGCATTGGCATATGGAAACTTTGACATGTACTCTCGGTCCTCGACTTAAACGGATGACATCTTAGGTGAAAGCTTAAAGTGAGGAGCCAATGGAGTACTTACTGTCTTGGTATTGCCATCAAAGCTGAATTTCTTTAACATCTTTTATAAGTAGCTCCTCTGTGTAAGCTTCAATCTCCCTTCACCCTGTCTCTCTTGATCTCCATACCCAATATCTTTTTAGCTTCTCCAAGATCATCTCATACTCGGATAACAACTTCTTTTTTAATTTTCGAATAGCCGAAGAATTCCTGAAAGTAATAAGCATATCATCAATATATAACAATAAATAAATATACTCACCATCCCGTAGCTTATGCATATAAACACATGAGTCATATGGGCTCCTCGTGTATCCTTGGCCAATCATAAAGCTGTCGAATCTCTTGTACCATTGTTACGGCAATTGCTTCAATTCGTAAAGAGACTTGTTTAGCTTGCACACCAAATCCTTCTTTTCTGTAGCTTTAAACCCCATAGGTTATGTCATGTAGATCTCCTCATCTAAGTCTCCATGTAAAAAGAGTGTTTTAACATCTATCTAGATCAAATCCAAATCTAGCTGTGCTATTAATGCCAACAAAATCCTAATCGATGAATCCTTCACATCGAATGAGAATACCTCGTTGTAATCAACGCCCTCAAACTGGGCATACCCCTTGGTAACCAATCTTACTTTGTACAGAATGTCCTCAATAGAAGATCCATCTTTCTTTGCATATACCCACTTGTATCCAATAGCCTTCTTTCCTTTTGGTAGCTTTGCAAGTTCCCAAGTGTCGTTCTTTTGAAGAGAGTGCATCTCCTCGTCCATAGCTTCCTTCCACCTGATCGAATCAGAGCTAGACTCTGCCTCCCTATATGTAGAAGGAACCAAATCATCAACAACCTCTACTAATAAAATATATGCAACCAACACATCATTGTATCTAGCTGGCCAACGAATCACCCTTCTAGGTCTATTTGCTACAATCGACTTCTGAACATGACCCTGCTCCTGAGTCTCGCCAACCACTATATCCTCCAAATGCCCATCTGTCATCACATCTCCTCCTAGTATCATCTCTGTTGGAGCCTCAATGGATACAATGCTATCTGGAGTGGATGGAGTCACATCATCCTCCACCTGCTGCGATATCCTACTAGTTTGGTCTTCCTCCACCTGCTGAGGGATTTGAGGCGTCATCATGTATGCCTCATCAAACATGATATCTCTGCTAATGACTATCTTCTTGTCCTGTGGATCCCATAATTTGAAGCCTTTAACTCCTTCTCTAAAGCCCACAAAGACTGCTTTTCTCACTCTCAGACTTAATTTTCCATCATTGACATGATAATAACCTGGACACCCGAATATTCGAAGTAACTCATAGTCACTAGCCACCGAACCAGATCATAGCTCTATAAGAGTCTTCCCATATATCATAGTGCATGGCAACTTATTCACGAGATGACTTGCATAAACCAATGCCTCGGCCCAAAAGGATATGGACAATCCACTCTGTGACATCATACATCGCACCTTCTCCAGCAAGGTACAATTCAATCTCTCAGCCACTCCGTGTTGTTACGTTGTCTCTCAAACTGTGAAGTATCACCTAATGTCGTAATCTTGACAAAATTATAGAAATGGATCATTCTTATACTTTTTACCATTATCTGAACAAAGTGTCTTCACCTTTCTACCTGTCTGTAGCTCCACTTTCTTCTTCTACTCCATAAAAATATCCAGAACCTCATGTTTATACTTCATGGTATATACACAATTTCTCCGAATAGTCATCAATAAAAATGATAAAATAGTTAGCCCCACCAAGTGATGTGTGTTGGGAAGGGCTCTAAATATCTATGTGAATATAATCCAATATACCTTAGGCGTTGTGAATTGCGGTGCCAAACTTCACTTTAGTCTTCTTCCCAAGTACACAATGCTCACACAACTCCATCTTGCAGGTCTTTTCACATTTCAATAGCCCCTGTTTCACCAATGTCTGCAGGGACTTATCACCAGTGTGTCCCAATCTCATGTACTATAAGCTAGTAGTGTCCTCCTCTGTAGTGATCAAAGCTGTCAGACATCCTATAACTGTCTTGCCATTCAAGTAGTATAGGTTATTTTCCCTGACACATCGTATCACCACTATAGACCCTTTTGTGACCTTCAAAGTGGCATTCTCTAAGATCATACGATAGTCTGCTGCCTCCAAAGTCCTAAGAGAAATGATGTTCTTCGTTAAATGCGGAGCGAACCTCACTTCGTTCAGCACCCTAGTCACCCCGTCACACATCCTGATCCGGACTGTACCAATACCACCAATAGGGCATACGTGATCATTACTCATAAGCATGACATCCCCTCTTTCCAACTCCTCAAAGCTGGAGAACCAATCCCTCCTAGGACAAATATGATATGTAGCTCCTGAATCCAACATCCACTCCATAGAGTTGGCATAGCAAACTAACGATAGTGCAGGACATGAGTAGCCTGAAGAATCATAATCTGAATTGTTGCCACCAGCCTTGGCAACATTCACCTGAAGCTTGTACAACTTTTCCCTTGTTCTTCCCGGCTTTATCCTTCAACTTTGGGCATTCGTTCTTTCAATGTCCCTCTTCTTTACAAAAGACACATTGATTTTTACCAACACTCTTATGGCCACCTCTATTCTTTGATTTTGAGAGGTTGAATTGGCGGTGGTTTGGACTGCGGCCTCAAACTGCTAATACATCTCCCGATGCCTTCTCGGAGGGTTCGCCATCACTCTTCATCAACTCATAATTCATCAATGCTGAGGTCACCTTCTTGTAGCTAACAATAGTTCTTGCATTGATCATAGTAAGAACAAAGGTACCATAATCATCATCCGACAACGAACATAATAGCAACATCGCCTTGTCTTCATCCTTAACCATGATGTCCACATTGGCCATATCCGAAAGCAACTTTATGAAGTTATTGACATGCTCTCTAATAGAAACTCCCTTCTTCATCTTGAATTGGTAAAATATCTTCTTTAAGTGAAGCAGATTCTCAATGCTCTTCGTAAGATACTGTTCATTGAGTGTTTCCCACAATCTCTTCGCTGACGTCTCGTTCATCACATCATAAATCAAATCTGGCGTCAAGCATGACCGAATAACCCCACATGCTCTACTGTTCAACTTCTTCCAAACATTGTCCTTCATGTCTTTAGGTTTCTCTTGTAATTCAAGAGTCTCCTCCAAATTCTGGGCATCCAACGCATCCATCACCTGAAGCATCCATCACCTGAAACGAGACGTCAGCGAACTTCAGAACATCAATCTTTGTATTATTGATGCTCAGACTTTTTATTGCCTTTGAAAGGGACGATCCCGATGTGCTTGCTTCACCCATGTTGATGATCTAACTCTTCAAATAAGAATCCTTCAGAGAATCCTCCAAACGAGCCCCAAGCTAAACTCAAAGCTCTAATACCACTTGTTATGCGTAACGGAACACGAAACACATGAAAGAGCACGAATAAGAATGAGATAGATCACAACCAATAAGTAAAACACAATCACCACAGCAAGACAAATGAATTTTACGTGGTTCGACAAATTACCTATGTCCACGGGGCAAGGAGGGGGAGTTTTTACTATTAGAGATAAAGAGAATACAAAAAGGGTTTACAATCTCACCAAAAACCCTTAAACAAAGCTCTCAAAATCACTCACAAATTCTCCCTCAAAGGATGCACAAAACTCTCTCAAAGGCTGCTCAAAATCTTGTCCTGCTTAACCCTAATAATCATGTTTAGGGTTATATATCAACACAAAACAAAACGGGTCAGAAAATAAAGCCTAGACTCAGACTCGCGTCGCGGTCGACCGCACTTGATGCCACAGTCGACCGGACAGAATGACAAAAACTTCAAAAAATCGATTACAGGGTCCGTGATCGACCGCACTTGACGTCGCGGTCGACCGACCAGAGATCCAAAAATACACCATATAGTGTGCACGTTTCCGGTCGACCACCACTTGTCTCGCAGTCGACCGAACAGCACTCAGATTGTTTCCTGCTTTGTTTTTCCTGAACTTTGTCGCTGTTTTCGTCGTTTCTACAAATAGAAGGATTAATGTACTTAGTCCATTCGATAATCTGAATGACTAAATTATTAACCCGTTAAATAAGTTTTATTTTAGCCATTGTGATCAGTTTTAGTGTTTAGGAATAACAATGATTTTGACTATTTTCTTTAAAGTTTTATTTTAGCCATTGTGATCAGTTTTAGTGTTTAGGAATAACAATGATTTTGACTATTTTCTTTAAAATTTGAAGAGTTAACTCTTAATCCTTCTAAATAAGAGTATTAGTAAACCCCTCATTTTGAGGGGTTAACTCGTTTTAATCCTTGTAGAGGGGTTAGCTTAACCCTTCAATATTTTTTATGTTTGACAAATTATAGAGGGTTAACTCACTTTAACCCTTGTATAGATTTTTTGTGTTTGGTGGGTTAAGAAGGGGTTAAGTCTCATTAACCGCTCACTTAACCATTTGCCAAAGGGTTACTTAACAAGTCATTGATGCTATCTAAAAACAAATGATATTTGAAATTTTCCACTTGCAAAAGCCATTTTGCAAGCAACAGAAAGGAAACTTTCGAAGGAAAGGTATTGTTGACTTTTCATCTTTATAGAATTAGAAAATACAAATAAATTATACCTTAATCATAAGCTTGTAACTAAGAAAGGGGAAAAAAAACTCCCGACTTTTCGGATCTTCATATATTTAATCAGCAATGCCAATGATCAATTTGTGCTGTACACCTGACATTGGATGAAAATAATAATAATAATAAAACTACTAAATTAAACTTCTGGACATTATTTAGTTTCTCTAATCAAATCAGATTAAGTGCAAGTATCAGCCACCCTCCCCATATTAATTTAAGGCACCTAACATCTTATTTGTTTTCTGAACCGCGAGGAGTAGCTGACAGTGAAAGCAAAGTAGCAAGAAAACTAAATTCATTAATCCAGTGTTTCCAAAATTTAAAGCTTACTGATTCCTACATAAAATAATTATCTCCCTCAACTCAGAAGTCTGCTGTTTCCTACTAAACCAGAAAATGTAACTTTAACAGTAAACAAAAAATGTCCCTCCCAATTCTCTCACCATCTTTCCTTCTTCCTTTCCTCTTGTTAGCTCCCTTTCTCTTACTGCTATCTCATTATAGACCCTCCACCAGTAAAAGAGACTTCCCTCCATCTCCATCCAGGCTCCCCATCATCGGAAACCTCCATCAACTAACCGGTTCTCTGCCTCATCGATCTCTTGCCTCCCTCTCAAACAAACACGGCCCTCTCATGCTCCTCCACCTCGGCCAAATCCGAACTCTAATTATCTCATCCCCAGAGATACTACAAGAGGTGGTAGAAACGCAAGATGCCATTTTTTCCGGTAGGCCATCCCTCGTAGTAGCCAACAAGCTTTTATATGGATCCAAAGACGTTGCTTTTGCGCCGCCAGGCGATTACTGGAGGAACATGAAGAGTCTCATTGTTTCTCACCTCGTAAGCCCGCAAAGGATTCAATCTTATTGTCTTCTAAGAGAACAGGCGGTAGCCTCCATGATCGATAACATTATGAAGCTATCATCACTAGGACCACAGATGAATTTGAGCGATCCTATAACGATATTTGCAAAGGAGGTATTTAGTGCGATAGTATTTAACAAGCGCTCGAGAGAGGAGGGATGGAATGAGGTGGCTGATGTGCTTATCAAGGAAAGTAATGATTTGCTCGGATCGTTTCATTTTGGGGACTACTTCCCGCGTCTTTCATGGTTAAGTACCCTCAGTGGATTTGATGCGAGATTGGAGAGGACATTCAGCAAGGTGGATAAAATCCTCGAACAAATCATTGAGGATCGACGTAGTGGTGACAGTAAATCGATAAATCATGGGTCTGAGCTTGATTCGTTCGTCGATATCTTGCTCTCGCTTCAGAAAGATAGCAAAACTGGAAGTTTGCTTGACGAAGAGAGCATTAAAGCTTTCGTTGGGGTTGGTAATTTAACTTGATCGTTACTTATTTGCGATTGTGTTCATGGTTTGATCTTTTGCTAATTAACTTTGGTCTCTTTTTTTCATAAATTTAATAGGACACATTTGGTGGGGGAACCATAGTAACAGCACTGATCCTAGAATGGGCTATGGCAGAGCTTGTAAGAACACCAGAAGCCATGAAGAAATTACAAAAGGAATTACGAAGTAAGGTTGGTGTAAAGATCATAATGAAAAACGAGGACTTGGTCGCAATGACCTATTTGAAATCGGTGATAAAGGAGGCCCTGCGGTTGCATACGCCCAGTCCGTTTCTCGTTCCACGTGAAGTGATTCAAAATACTCGAGTTCAAGGCTATGAAATTCCGAAGCAGACAAGAGTCACTTTGGTATGTTTTCCCTTGATATATTCAATACATACGTCAAAATCTAAAAAATTAAGGGAATCCAAAATGTCATCAGACACATGACACTCAACTCTACCTTTTAAATATGACCCATGTGTTTATGCCATAATGTCGCTAAATTTTCCTTATTTAATTTATGCTTAGTACCACGTGATTCCACATGCAAGGATTCATTATAAGAAGCAATTATTTAATTTATGCTTAGTACCACGTGATTCCACATGCAAGGATTCATTATAAGAAGCAATTGTATCAAGCAAATATAGGTAGGATTCATTATAAGAAGCAATTGTATCAAGCAAATATAGGTTATCATAAGTACTCAAGTAACCAGTTCCCATAACACTTGAATTAAAAGATAAACTAAATTGATTATTTCCAAATGAACAAGAATAACCTGATTTGTCTAATACAGAGATCAAATTCCGTCTAAAAGACGGTACTACAAAAGTATCTTTTAAATCCAAATATGAACCAGTTCCTAATAACAACCTAAATTACCCAATTGCTTCCACATCTACTGATTGTCCATCACCCACAAATATGTGTCTTTCAACATCACTTGGTTTTCGGTAGCTCAGGCAACCCTGCATAGAAACACTTATGTAAGTAGTAGTACCAGAGTCTAATCACTAAGTGCTTCTAGGTACTGAATCTAAATTAACCTCAGAACAGACCAAAGTAAGGAACATACCCTTCTTAGCACGTCAGGCGTGATATTTGGTGCAATCCTTGTTTACGTGTCCAGACTTGCTGTAGAAGAAACAACACTGATCATCCTTATGTTGTTTATTGTGAACAGAAACCTTAGCAGCTTCATTATCATTCTTTCTTTTCTTACCCTTATCTTTAGAGGCATAAGCCAAATGAGCACTTTAAGTCTTATCTTGCTTCAACTTGTCTTCTTCTTGCACATAGTATGAAATGAACATATTTAGAGTCTATTTCTCATTTTAGGAGTTGTAACTGATCTTAAATTGATTAAGTTATGCAGGAAGAGACAATAAAACCAGATGCACCAATAACTCATCACAAAGATCGAGTTTAAGTGTCTTAAGTTTCAGGAAGAGACAATAAAACCAGATGCACCAATAACTCATCACAAAGATCGAGTTTAAGTGTCTTAAGTTTTGAAGCAATATGAAGATGCACCAATAACTCATCACAAAGATCGAGTTTAAGTGTCTTAAGTTTTGAAGCAATATGAGACATTTTCATAATATACTCTCTGATATTTCCTTTGTCCTTATACTTCATTGAAATCAAGCGAGCTAAAAGCATGCTTGTTTCTATCTTATTGTTTTTTCGCAAAACATTTCTCAATTTCGGCAAGGAAATCTTTAGCCTTAGTAATCCCTTCGAATTCTATGCCTCTGAAGGCTTCTGGAACATCGCGCTTAATGATCAGAAGACTCATGCGATTTGAACGCTCCTATTTCTCATACTACTTCTTTGCATCAGGAGTGCTATCTGTATTAAGAGGGTGACGTTGTTCAGTCCTTAATGTAAGGTTTAGATTTATACAGCCAAGAACAATTAAAATGTTCTCTTTCCAAACCTTAAAATTTGTCCTATTTAGCATGGGAATTGAGTTGATGTTAGCAGAAATTAATGCAGCAGATGCATTAGCTAAAATAAATAAAAGATTTTCACATTATTAATCATAATTAGTAATCAATAAAATTCAAATAATGACAAATCACATCTCAATATATCTGGCATAACATTAATATCAAGTCTTTGGATAGTAAAATTAATTGTAAGTGATATCTTGTTGCAATAATCAAACACTGACAATAACACATGTTAAATAATGAAACTATCTTTGGATCGATTCATTATTCACATGTAAACCTTATAATTGTCACACGTTTATCATCACAGATGTGTATGTAGACTAAATAAATATTAACATTCCTTTCGGCCGATTAAATATTTACACGGAAACATACCCATAACCATCTAACATTTCTTATGAACAATTTACACAAGAGAGGTTACTTTGGCAACTTCTTATTTCAATTAATCATTTGGAATGAGAGACAAAAAATTGATACCTTAGTGTCATAATATTTGGATTAAATAATTAATTAAGTATGAAATTTAATTCAAATTAAACAATTTAATTTAAATTAAACCAAAATCTAAAATTTACTAGGGAAAATTATAACCCAATAACTTAATTGATTATTTGAGTAACTCAAATAATCCATAATAATTTACAGGCCCAAAAGAAACTTAAGTTGGCTTTGGCCTGAAATGAATTAAATTATAAAATAAAATAATTTAGAGGCTCACACTAAATTAATTTGATTATAGGCCTATAAAAAAACTTGACACAGGCCCATAACAAAATTAATTTGTTTCAAGGGCTCGTTCTGTGCCCTAAATCAAATCCAAACTTCAGTTTCTTAGCCAACGAACCAAAGAAATCTTAGGCTCTGCCAGATTCAAAGCCGAAGCTCGCTTGATTTGAAAAGGTCTCAAGCTCGCCGAAGTCGAGCATCGACCTTGCCAGAAGTTGAACTTCGAAAGGCTTGCCTGAAGTTCCCAAATGAGCCGATGAAGATCAAGCTCGCCTGTGAAATATCGAGGCTCGCCTGAGATCTGAATGTCGAGCTCATCGGTAGTCGAGCCTCACCCTCGCCTGAATCGAGATCAAGCTCGCTCGCAGTGAACACAAAGTTCATTTGACTTTGAATCGAGGTTCTCCTAAATCAAACACGAGGTTCGACTGAAATTTGAACCGAAGTTTGACTGAAGCAACATCGAGGTTCGCCTGATGTTCGAACCGAAGTTTGTCTAAATCGAACATGAGGTTCGTCTGATGTTCGAACAGAAGTTCATCTAAATCGAACACGAGGTTCGTCTGAAGCAAATTGAAGTTTGCTAGAATCAAACCAAAGTTCAACTGAAGTGAACATCCAACCTCGCCTGTAGAATTGCCGACGAAGTTCGCCTGAGTTGAGAAAAGTCCTCAAGCCCTAATTTCCTTCACCCCTTAGGGTTTAGATCTTTAACCGTCATCGCTAATGCTTAAGCTCCCACACCCTAGGGTTTCTTGATGTCGCCGCCACTGTCATCATTTGACAGCAGGGTCGCCAACGAACATCGTCGGGGAGGAGTTTTAAAAAACGACAGCCAAACCAAATTGTTGTTGTTCTTAATTTTATATTTTCTATTTTAATTCATAACCAGATTCAACAACTAAATCTAAGCAATTATCCAGACCCAGAAATGAAAAAAAGATGAATTCTTGATCCAGATCCAAAAAATGAAAGAAAAAACGAAACAAAACATGAACTATTTACTGTTCATCTGTGGAACAGTTCTTAAAAACACAGATTAGGATCAAAAAACCCTAACTTTAATCTTAAATCCCTAAGAGATAATCACGGTGGCTTAATACCACTTGTTGAACTTAAATCGATCTAATATAGATCTAATAACCATGACTAATCCAAAGAGATTAAAACAACACAAGCAAAAGCTATACTTGAATCCATTACACGAATCTGAATTAGGGTTTTGATGATCTTCTAATCTTGAGGGTCTCTCCTAAGAATCTCTTTAGATAGGGATAAGAGAATAGAGAATGTTAACCCTAGATAAGGGACCATACCCCTTATTTATAGGTATTGTACTTTTATAATTTTTCCCCTCATCAAATTATAATTACAACCTGGTATTATAGGCTATCTAAAAATTACTACAAATAGCTGATCCCTATCAAATATCGATGATGGATGTTACAATTTAACGGTTTTTAGAAGGCTGCAATTTGAAAGCTTTTACATAGATCGATGAAGATTACAATCTGACAACCTTTATAATAACCGACGAAAGTTCTAATTCAACAACCTTCACAATCAACATCAGGAATTACATTCTGATAACTATCATATTTTCAAGGAGCCAAGAAGAAGATTACAAGTTGACAGTCTTTGCAACGTTCTAGCAAAAAAGACTACAAATTGACAGTCTCTTTAAATCAAGACGCATTCATCTCTGCATCCTAACGACAAAACACAGAGTTCGTGGACTCAAAACACAGAGTTCATCTCTGCATCCCAACGACAAAACACAGAGTTCATGGACTCAAAACGCAGAGTTCAACTCTACGTCCCAGGTCCAGAACGCAGAATTCGTGCGTTTGCAGGCTCAAATGTAGAGCCCAACTCTGCGTCCCAGGTCTAGAAAGCATAGTTCATGCCTAGAATGTAAATTCTGCATTTGACTCGTTCAAACACGAGTTGAACGGTTCCAGAAATTGTTTTCTTCCTACGATTTGAGGGGATCACCACCCTATCATTGAGCGATTTATGGGGGCGGTTACACCCCATTAAACCCTCATCGTGGAGAGATTTATAGGGGGCAATTACACCCTATTAAACCCTCATTAATGAGAGATTTAAGTGGGCGGTTACACCCCTTAATCCTATATAAATAGCGGAAAACTCAACTGAGTTGGGGATCTGTAATTCATCCTCTTTTCGGTAGTAAAGAAGAGATCTTTTGGCAGATCATCTTTAAGGGAGATCGGCATTTATCCTGGGAGAGCTCAAAGCATTCTTCGGCAACAGGAGCTTTCTTCATCCTTGGCTTACAAACCGATTTTGGTTAAATCAACTCTTTCATAGAGTTTTAAACTCATTCCAAGTTATCAACTCGTCAAGAGTTTCAAACTTACTTTACAAGTACGTCCAAGACGTCGAGTCAATAGGCGAAGACAACGTTCCAGTGAGGTATTCGGATCGTTAACGAGATACAAGAATCTAAACTCCCATCAACATCAAGAAGAACCCAGGTTAAACAAAGGGAATGATCTCTGTCGACCCTTCTCTCTTTTGTAAATCGGAAATCCGATACGAGAAGATTTGTAATTTCTTTTTCTAAGTTTGTTAGAGAGAACAATACGAATTTAATTCCCCATTGTCTTTTTTCAATTTTTTCCACAAACAGGTATCTACACATTTATCCCA